TGGTTAATGTAATTCTGGCCAGAGTTTTTTGAGGGTCATCTCTAATTTTTAGACAGACAAGAGACTGCTTCATCCATTAGCACTAATCCTATTTCACAAGAAGCTCAATGTCTCAGCTGTTATACTGACTTCCTCCCCGATTCATAATAACTTTATGCACCTTCATCCTCCTCTAACTTGAGGAAGGTGTGGCTTTGAGTAGCGGTGATGACACCTGCTACTGATGTAGCTGTCACTTTTTCTCTGTAATAGCCACTTTTTTCTTGAAAGCTTCATATTGGAGAGGAAGAAAGCTATGCTTACTGTGTGCAGTAGTGTTACTGGGTCATATGTGTAACTGAGAAAGGGGGGATATGGGAGTGTGAAGTTGTGGCTAAACCTCTGTACAACTGAGGGAGTCTTAACTCACAGATTGGCCATGTCAGTGTCCCAGCACTGCTAAATTCATGTTAAATACATAAGGAAATGGTTTCTCAAGTAGTGTAGTTCCTAAAGGCTTGCCAATTATTGTAAGTTCTTCAGTGCCATACTACATCACACATTCTCTCTCCTGAAACCAATATATATTTAACTATATAAAGCAGGTCTGCAAAACAAACAAACAAAAAAAACAAAACCAAAACAAACACAAAACTGAGGTGCTTGTCAGGTGCACGGTAGCTGTGAGCTCAGTGATCAGGATTTTCATATCACGTATTGGTATTGTGAGCTGAAATGCTTGTTTTACCTGATTCAAAGCACAATCTTCAGTGCTATGCCCTCAACATTGAGGCTGCAGTCCATTCTAATAGCTTTTCCAGACTTTTCAGACATAATTCTATCAAATCTGTGCAGAACTTTGGCTCAGCATTGGCTGAGCTACTGAGAGCTAGTTGGCTCTTCTGTAGGATAATGCATGCAGCAGGTTTCTTCTGACTGTAGGCCTGTAGGTTAAGCCTGTCATTGCTGGATGCTCTTAAATGAATGTTCAAGTTAAGCCCATGCTTAGCTGCTTTCTTGAGCAGGTGCAGATTCAAAATGCACCTATACACACACGATTAAATGTGATATAAGTGCCTTTCAGAATTGGGTTACTATCACAGGTCAAGTTCTAGCTATTGCCCTCAGCTAGAAACAGTGACAACAGCAAAATATCTGGGATGCAGGAAAATAAGAGCAGCACCAGCCCTCAAAGAAATATGCCTTCAGCATGCCCGTGTCTCCATGGTCTCTGGAAGACTGTATTCAGCATCTCCACTGCTTCTAACCGATTACATCTTGCCTCTGAGCTAAACGATTCCTGAATCACTGTGGTCTTGAAAGCCTTAGGTTGCTAAGGTGCAAAATGGAGGATATTACATGAAAGAAATGGTATGGGATTCATTATTGGTGTATGACTCACCTCATTTAGAGTCTGATCGCTGTTTCCCATATAAATACTTTTCACTGGTAAAAGAGAAATGTATGCCTCATTTGAGAGGAATGCTTGTGATCTGCAGCTAAAATGGGCAAAGGACAGCTGAAGTATGTGCACTCTTGCTGGTTGCCCATACTGCACAAGAAGGGGTGCTTCTGTTAATTTCAGTTTCTCTGGTACACTGAATCAGTGTAGCACTAAGAAAATGGTGAAGGCTCTCCCTTCTGTAGTAGGCTTTAGCTGTGGTGTTTGAAGTTTAATGCTTTTTTTTTCCTCTTTGTATGGGGACACCCTCATGACTTTTTAAACTGTAAAAAAAAAAAAAAAAAAAAAACACTGCAAAAATAGTCCTTCAGGTTTCTCTCATCCTTCAGGTTATCTGAGGAAAGGATTTTGGGGATAATTATTGCAAACAAGTAGAGGAAAGGTTCTGTGAAAGCACCTGTGACAAACAAAAACCCCACAAACCAAAACTCTGGCACATTAAACAGTTCTAGTAGATGCCATTAATAGATTGGATAGTCACTTGAAAGACAAACTCAAAGTAGTACATCTGGAATCCAACTAAGTACATCTTGTTTAAGTACAGTAGCATTTTATATTCTGCGATGGCTTTAATGTGGAGATTTATGAGTTGTAGCTGCCAGTTTCATTTCTCTTGAAAAAGACTTGCATATGAACTAGAGAACCAACACTTCTCTCTTCGAAAGAGGATAAAATGAGTTCTGCTGAGGAAAAGCCACTGTACAAGTTCAGAGGCATCATGGAGAAAGTTGACAGGAGGTGGAAGCAGCAGTTGTGCAGTAGGTGTCTGAGGCTGGCAATGTTTCAAAATCCTGTCTAAAATAGTTAGCTAGAGACAGGCAGAGTCAGTGTTGAGCCTGTACGCACTGTTCAGTGTGAGCACATTATGTGGAAGAATGAGCTCCATCTGACTTGTTTTGGAGAGCTTGGGTGAGCATAATGCTGGAAAGGATGGGGTATGAGTTACTGAGATTCAGAAGTTTGTAATTGAATATGGAAGCTATTTAGTTATTACAAGATTCGCATACGTTTATCATTCTCAGATTACTGTATTTGCTAACAAAACATCTGAAAAGCCAACACATGACAAAAATGATAGTATGGATGCAGTATGAGATACTACCTTTTCAGAATGAGTGCCTGTAGAGATGATGGGTAAAGAACAATGAATGATGTGTAAGGATGGGGAAAAATATGTATTGAGATTCATTTGAAACATGTAGCCATGGATACTTGTGATTGCTGCTCAGTCTCCATGTGTGGATTACAGGGAGAAACAGATGACATTGCGTGCATTTGGGAGAAGGCAGTGTTGTCCTGCAGGCATTTCCCACCTGGTTGCTCAGCACTGGGCACATGCTCCTGGGGAGTAGGGTCTCTTGAGTTCTGCACTTGCACCTGCTTGTTCTGTAGGGATTGTTGAAAGCAAATATAGGAAACCATGTTTCTATGGAAGAGAACTGTGGGCTCATCTTGTACGTGCTGTGCTGCTGGGTCTGGTTCTGCTACTGGTTTGGAGGCTTAGACATGCAGCATCTTCTGGATACAACACACGCTTAGTGCTGCCACAATTCCTTGCTTTGGGATTTTGTCTCAATTCATAAAACCATCACAGTTCTTTCTCTCACAAATGCATGCTTATTTGACTTTTTCAAGCTTTGATTATTACATACCTCTTCATTACTTAAGAAAAAGCCTGAAAGGTGTGACTCTTGTAAAAAGCAAGGAAGCAAATAAAAACATAATGGAAAAAAAAATTAGGTGCCTTTATTTCATACCTGATTTTTAGGACTTTTCAAAATAGTGAGTTTGCAGTGTTGGAGGAGGAATTCTGCTTGGCAAATAATGTGCACAGATCGCCCGTCTCTTCTGTTGTTGCTATTTATTGCTTGCTAGTGTTGTCAAGTACCATTCAAAAGGTCTGTTCTGTGCTTTAATTAGAAACAATTTCTAAAACTGCTGTACTGCACAAGTTAACCAAAACTGCTCCTGTCCAGTGCAGTCAACAGCAGAACTACAAAATGGATTTACTTATTTTACCAGTTGGACAAATTCCACTCCCTTGAAATAACTTCAGCTTGATCACTTAAATACAATTTTTGGTTATTCCTGGATGTTGATAAGGTAGTGATTAATGAATTAGAAATTAAGAAGGGAGAAGCCCTGAACACTGTCATTGCCTTCTGAAAGTATTGTAAAAGCAAGAGTAGAGCTGCAACTTCTGAAACAATTTGAATGTTTTGAGAAGGGAGGGCTGCCTGCTGAGTGGGATGAAATCAACTAGTGAGCAGATGAAGAAGCAAACATGTTGATAGCAAGCTTTTTTCTACTTGCTCATGACCTCGTTTACCTGGAATATTGTATCCAGCTCTGGGCTCCCTGCTACACAGAAGACAGGGATCTTATGGAAGAAGTCCAGTGAAGGGCCACAAAGATGATAAAGGACCTAGACCACTTTTCTTATGAGAAAGGGCTGAGTGACTTGAGTCTGTTCAGCCTTGAGAAAAGAAGACTGTGAGGGGATCTGATCAGTGTTTATAAATATCTGAGTTGTGGGAGGTAAAGGGACAAGGCCATACTCTTTTCAGTGGCTTGTGGTAATAGGACAAGGAGAAATGGCCACATACTGAAGCATAGGAAGTTCTGCACAAATGTGAAAAGAATTTGTGCAACAAAACAAAAAGAAAAACAAACAGAACAAAAAGAACTTCTTCACAGTGAGGTTGACAGAGCACTGGAACAGGCTGCCCAGGAGGGCTGTGGATTCTCCTTCTCTGGAGGTATTCAAGACCTGCATGGATGCCTACCTGTACAACCTGCAATAGGGAGCCTGCTTTGGCAGGAAGTTGACCTCTATTATCTCTAGAGATCCCTTCCAGTCCCTGTATTTTGTGATTAGTAATTAGTTGCTCAGACAGGTGGTAGTTGGAATTGTTGTATACATTCTTTTTTTAATCCCCAAAGCTTCAAAGAGCTGTATGAGAAAACATTTTACCTTCGGAAAAGGAATCAGATGAAGTGACTCAAAGTCACGTGAGAGAGTAGTGACAGAACTGTGAAGGAAATCCAGAGTTAAAACATAGACCTGGAGGGGATTGATGTCAAAGATGTACTGAATTCATAGCAGTCTGTCAACTAGAGTCTTACGGTCTGCTCCGTTCTCTGTTCAAATTGTGTTTTTTTTGCCAGTGTTTTTTAGGAGGTTTCACGAATGTCTGCTGCTGCACCAAAGGTGATGTTGGGGTACTAATGCTGAATATTTTAGATTTCAATTACTGCAACTACAATCACCACTTTTTTTTTTCCAGAGTAAATGAAACAGAGAAAGCAAATTACTGAGGGCCTCAATAAGCTTTTATTTAGAGATCATTTACCAGGGAGGAAAGAAGGAATAATAAGGAAAGAAACTTCCTGAATTCAATTAATAAATGCTTAGCTGAAACAGAAATGAAAACATGTCATCTAAACCAATAATATAACTAAACCCCATTACCCTAATTGTCTTACCTAATTTATAACTACTGAACGTCTGCTGCGGGAGAGTGGAGAGTGAAGTTTGGATTCATAATAGCTTTGAGACTGTGGGAAATTAATGTATTTTTCCTTTTTTTCTTTTTAGGTAAGTAACTGAATGGGACATGAAGAATTGACGTTTAAATGGCCAGCATGTTGCAAAAGGTATTTCACTTTAGATTGAAGAGAAACGCTTGAATAAGTACATGTTTAATGACTGCTTGCCTTTTCTAAAAAGTTAAATCAACAATCCTCATCATGTTATCCTTAAGTGACATCACATCTGAAATTGGATACTATACTCATAGTATACTGTATTTTTTACGTACATAAATCAAATTAATCAACTCATGTTGGTCCTGGTTTGCAACAGTGTTGTTGAGAATACAGGTAAAGTGTTTGTATTTCTGCACTAGTGGGTCACAAGTGACTTTGAGGTAACACGTGTTGTACTGTTCAGTATTGGGAAGTAAACTGTAGACAGGGATAATATGATGAACGGAACATGTAGATCTTGTGCTTGAAATCTTTTCTGCTGCAGTCTTCCTCTGAGATTAGATGAAGTATTGCTAGCTTTCGTGTGAGTCACTGGGGTATCTGTTTTAAATACTGATCTTAAGTTGAAAGATAACCTTGAGAAAGCTAGATCAGTATCTGATTTCTAATCAGCCACTGCCTTGCCTGTCAGATGGGCATGTAAGTATGCAAGGACTTACCTTGCATTGGGAAGTGCTACCTGTAAATATCTACTGATTAAGTTCTTGAGCTTTGCTTACTACATTCATGCACAAACTTCAAAGCGCATCCAGCCACATTTCCTTTGTCATAATTTCCTAAATCACTGGTAAGCAATTATAATTTTGTACGATTTTTGTTGTCAAATGCGGTAGTCTGTAAAATTGTTCAGAAGAGTGTAGGTTGAAGGGAAAGCAATGGTTACATGAAGTGATTCTGTATAATAACTTATATATGGCACTACAGTTATTTGGTAGCATCTTCAGGAAGGCTGGCTAATGAGAGGATCTATTATAAAAATGTCAGTACTAGTGATTTCTCTAAAAACAAAAATTATAGTTAATATTTCTTTAACAGAGGACTGGAAAGATGAATGTACACTTTTTGATTAGAAAATGTGTCTAAGATACAGAAAATATCTCAATTTCTGGTCTTAGTAAGACAACTGAGACTTAACACTGAATTTCTCACATCTGAGATGATTATTGATACCACTGTCTTCTGGCTGTTCTGTACCCCTTCCCTATTTTTTGAGTTATAAATCAAAGCTACATTTGATGTTTAAGTAAGTAAAAATTTTAAAAAAAGCGTTCTTAGTGATATCTTCAGCTAAAAAATTCTAAGCAGTTTTGCCTTCATAGTACTGGCTGTGTAACTGCTAAATCAATTTTTCTGCCCTTCTTTCTTTTTCTCCTCACTGTGAATTTACTAACATAGAAATATAATGGTGAAACAACTGTGAATGAGAAGCAAAACTTTCAGTAATCTGGGGAAAACTGGAAGGGAAGGCTGAAGCCCACAGTGCTGTCACTAACTACCATTACTGCTTGGAAATGGGTCACTTGCTCTTCTTGATGTTTCCTACACCTTCCCTAGTGTATGGATTCTGGCTTGGAGGACTGACTGCAGGAATGATCAACTCTGTTGCTTAAGAGTGGTCTCAGGCTTTGCAGAGCTAGGTTTCCCTGTTCGAAGTTGGTATTTTCAATGGGCTGAAATGCATCTTGCTTCTGGAAGTGCTTCCCCTTTGATTTCCTGTTTGATTCATAATACAAACTCAAGATTCATAGCGTAGCAGAGACAAAAAATACAGTGGAGTACCATTTCTTGTTATTGGGATTTTCCTAAGCAAACACATAAAACTGATAAAAACTAAACAAAAATCAGCCTCAATTAACTGACAATAAGCTTTATATAGTAAGAGAAAACATGAGATCTGATGTGATGCTTGTTGCACACCTGCTGTATTTGGTACCCTTAAAACTGATACAATTTTGTAATCATGTAGATTTGTCTCATATTCTACATTAGGTTATATTGTGGGGAAATGGATGTAATGATTTGAAAAGATGAAATGAGTGATTCGTTTCAGGCAATTTAGTTTATTACATTTGACATGTTATCAGGTCTCTGAAGCTTCCTTTTGGAAACATGTCACATCCTGCTTTCTTAATGATCATCTGCAGTCATTATTCATTGTAGTCAGGTGCTTTCTATTGGAAGCTAGCAGAGGCTTTCTACTGCTGCTGAATACAAAAATTACTTTGGATTATTAATTGCATAAAAATTAATTTGTATTACATCTTTGAAAGTGTCTAGAGGTGATCTCAGTAAAATAGGCATTGTTCAAAATGTGAGTTGTATGCTTAATTCTTATTTCAAGCAATGTACTGTATTGTTTCTTGAAGTATGCAGGCTCTATTTCTCCATTTTTATCTGTTAGGTTGTATTTTTTTGTCAGTTAAGCCACATATGCTTATATCAATAAAGGACTTAAAGTGTAAGCTCAAAGATTGTACAGTATGCTTAGGTAAAAGCCAAACAATGTGCTGAGGTCAAGAATTGCCCAGAAAAGATGACAGTTCTGAGATCTCAGAATGACACTGTTCTCTGGTAATCTTGTCTTGCCTCTTACAAGCTAGAATTTTATTTTGACTGTATGAGCTACCAGTGAAAATATGAACTGTGTTCACAGTGATTACCTTGTGCTTAGCTGTGCCTCTATACTGTTGGAAGAATGTGTTTTTTTTCTCACCAAGACACTAAGGACTCAGCAATCATATAGCTATATTTCTTTTTATGACATCACAGAACAAAATATGTTAATTTGCTGTTGGATGGTTACAAGGTATTGTGCAGTTGGGAAATGCTGCTTTGTCTTTTCAAGCTTATGATAGAACCTAGTGGGTTTATGACATGTACCAGGCTGTATATCCATGGCCTTCTGTGGAGCCAGGCAGCGAAAGAGGTTACAAAAGATAAAATTATTCTATTATGACTTGTGCTTCTTGTGAAGCAAAATCATTGAGGCAAAGGATAGAAGTATTCTTATTGTGTCCCCAGTGCAAAATTGAGGAAAACAAGACTATTCATCTGCTAAAGTTGAACTTGAAAGTTCAACTATTACTTGTAGATTCCTTTTACTAAACTAATATATTCATTCTTTAACATGTACTAATCCCTATTGCTAAAGAAACTAACTCATATCAAATGGAACAGCAGATCTCAGTGGAGTAGCCTTCTCACTGCTCTGCAGGCAAACATAGAGCTTAGGAGGCTATGGAAAATTTGTGGTGCCTGCTCATCAACTTCAAAATGAAGCAAAATGCCATATGTTGTTTTAAAAATTGATTCTAGTTGGTGGGGAGGGGAGGAAAGGTGCCCTGGCAAATTGGGAAAAACTAAGTAAAAAAACTTTTTTTCCCAAGAGATCTGTATTCTAGAAACAATTGCATAGAGGATTGCTTTAGTCTAATTGTTTGCATCTACAAATAATGCTCATACAGCTGAGCTGTGACACTGGAGAGCAGATGAATTATTGAGTAGAATTTACCTTTTCTGGTCTTACCTTTTCTAGATCCATAGCTGGTCTTACAGATGCAGACTTTGTGGGTGGGCGAGCAGTAGTACAAATTTCCAGACAGTGAAATTTCTGCTGAAGGAGCTCTCCTGGACTCCTGAAGCTGGTTTAGGCTGTGTTTGCACCTTTTTTGACTTGTGCAGCATCTGACAAATTTCATAGTTTGATGTCTTCAAACTTTCAAAGGATGAATTGGTGTTTGTTAAATTCTGAAATCCTGGGATGCCTGGCAATTTGCTTTTCTGTTTAACGCATAGGATTCTGAAGAATGTCAGGATAGTAAAAGAGTATAGAAGACTATTAGCAGTGTAGTATCATTGTTTTGGATAAATAACATGCTTGTTGGATTCACTCTCTATGGAACTAAGGGTGGCTCTGTGCTGAAGTCATCTACCCTCAATAGAGGTCTCAAATTTTGTAATAGGAGCAAAGGGAAGACAGGATTTAATTTACTGTTATACATCCACCTGATTTAGTTGATTTGGGGAGGAGCTGCATAACATGTAATCTATTTAAAACTATCTTATTGGTTAGTCCTAATGACTAAACTTACAAGTACAGGGGAATACTTCATTTACTGAAATGACTACAGAATTGAATATTATGCTGTATTTTGGAATGCTTAGAATGTGTGTTATGGGGTGAGTTAATCACAGGAGCTCAGTTACAAACAAGTTTCATCTCAAGCAGTGAAAACTTCTTTAGCGTCACTCTGCTGCTCACTAGGACTGGTATTATGTCAAGTAATGGTGATACGTAGGTTAAGAAGATGAAGAAAGGCAACTTGTTTTTCCCACAGAATGCAAATAACTGATATTCTTTCCAAATACTTCTGACTCTGAGGTGACCTCTAAACCAAGTTGACTTCAAGTATTTGCTTATTTGATTGTGTCAAATGCACTACTAGTGGTATTTTCCTTCAGATAATTTCACTGTCATATTTGTGGAAGAGGCTGTGAGTGGAGGACATGCATATTAGTATTCAGACACCCAGAGTGAATAATGGAAATTTTAGAATTGACAAAATAATCTCATGTCTGTGCTTCATCTCTTCTTGTTTTAATTTTCTCCCTGAAAAAGGGATGCAGTGCTTCAGGATTTCTTGTTTGTTAGTTAAATTGCATCATCTGTTATGTATCTGAAATGGTTGTATGCACAGACATAAAACAGTGATACTTTTAACTGTTATTCCTCCTTTTCTTCTGGCTGCATTGCTGTAGCTTCTACTTCTCTGCAGTATTTCAAAATGGTACAAGATAGCATACATTCAGTCTAGACAGTCACAATTCTAAGTCACTGTGTAAAATCTTCCGTTTGAATTTTTCAAGGAACAGATTTAAAAAAAAAATAGCATTTTGCATTAAATGGTACTGTTGTTGGCAGCTTAAACGGAAACAAAAATTGGAAGGGGCATGATGAATAAATTACCCTTTGACTTTAAGAGTGTTTCTTCAATACAATGATGACATGGTGTATGGTGAGTTTGCACTGCTTTTTGCTGTGTTGCATTTCTTCAGAGGTATGTAGGAGATTCATCATCTTCATGATTAATTGAATCCAGCGTGGATCT